CAAATATCACCATCAAAGATAATGGTTTCTGGTGTGTTCCACTAAAATAAATTTTAAACGTGTGACAGATTGCAGGTCACTCGTTCAGATCACTGTAATTACTGTATTGATCGTGTGTTAATTTTAAAAAAATTATTCTTTGATTTGTCTTTCTGTATTTCGTCGTAATCAAACTAAGAAGATGAATATTTCTCATTTAAAAGTCTAATTTTCCAGGAATAACTAATCTCAGTATTATGACCTACGTCAAGGTTGACTATGGATTGATGATATCAGTTAGAGAAGCATTGATAAACAACAGCGACTAATGAACATCTGTTACTGTCATCCTAGTATGGGAATAGCTTCTCAGGAGTAGGCAGCCACCGGGATTCGAACCGAGGGCCTTCCAGTTACAGAGAGAACTCGTAAACCATTCATTCACTGGGATTCTACTCCTCAATGGCCAGTATCATTGACCAGTATTTGGGCTCACTCCCGATTGGGTAGATCGTACTGGTCAAGAAGTTGCCATGAGTTCTAGTGAGAAGTTGTGACCACTTAGCAGGGTCCACAAAGTCCGGAACGAGCACAGATACTCGCCAGTTATGACATAAGATGGCTGGTCGTTCGCGCTAAACAACCACCACTTGGTAGAAGTTGGAATCCATGGGCTGACTATTGAGGAGTCGAATCTCACTGAATGAATGGTCAACTAGCTTTCCTTGCAACTAGACAGCCGTTGATTTGAATCCCGGTGGGTGCGTACCGCTGAGCAGCCAGCTTTAAATTAGGACAACAGAAATAGCTAACCAGATGAACAAGATGACCCTCTTTGTAAGGGAAGCGAAATACCAACAGGTTTCTGTAACTCCTGGCTTTTCAGATTGCATAGCAACGACTTATTTGTCAATCACCTTGAAGTGGATAAAGAGGAAATAGAAGAAAATGACAGAGAGAGAGATATCTGTCTGGAAAATGAAACACGAAGTGTTATCCTTAAGACGAACAATGTTGTTTTCGCTATGGTAAACAGCTGTCGATAAAATATGTTTTAAAACTTGCACTGACAGATTAAATAAACACATTATTGACGAATTCACGAAGGTTGTCGTCAATTCCAAGTGGATATTTCTTCTGTATTTCTGTAGTAATCTACGTGAAGAGTATGTGAATAACGGATACTGTTATCAGGACTGCATAGGTCAGCAAAGAGATCACTCTCTTCAGTGATGACAGTTGTCTATGGGGTATATATATACATACATATAATATTATTACATCTGATCTGATCTGATCTTGTAGAAACAGCAGAGAATTCATTCCCTATCATTTATCGAATATAAGATGAGGTCGTTTTCAAGGATTTCACTTGCTTTTTCTTCATGCAGTTGAAGTTCTAGCCGGCCAACACTCTAATGAAATGAATATCAGATGCCCTGAAAAGAATGCTTCTCACTTCTACATCATGACTGGCATTTTCTCAGTTGCCTCAATGCTCACCAATAATCTTGAGAATAGACTATCGCATTTGACCACTTTTATGTGTATCTACCGATTCACTCGCTGCTGTGGAGCGAACGAGCAAGATATATGTAGGTCGTTCGATGTGTGTCTTATCTAGCAGAGTCAAAGAACATTATCCCACTTGGCTACAGAAAGATACAGGCAAGGTGGATCAGTAAGGAGTGCTACAATTGAACATATATTCAACACTCACCTTCCAATATGCAAGAAGAATTCATTCAAAGTTATCTACAAAGTCAGGGAAAGTCTCCCGAAAACGGTATGCTTCTGTACATTTTACATTTCTGAGTGAGGCGTCAGATATTCGTATGGAAACGCCCTGATTTATGTACACAGAAGAAACTTCTCCATCTACTCCTTGAGTATACCTTCAGTATAATTTCGACTGTTCAATGGTTATCAATATTTTGTTATTAATACTATTTCTGCATTTTTAAGCATGGGATGCATTATCATTATTATTAATGTAAAAATTATGTTTACTCAACCTTCAATCTGCCTTGAAATGTTTCAGTGACCCTAAACAGGTCTCATATAACATAGGGTAGTTGTACTTTAGGTGCTGCTGCTGTTCTACACCATAACATTGTTTCTTGCCTAGACAAAGCAGCTAAATATGCTCGATTTTCTTTCCTCAACTATACATCCGCTTTCAACTCTCTACCCAGATGTCTTTTGTTCAATAGGCTTTTCATGACAGAGACTGAGTCCTGGACTGTTAACTGCATTGTTGTACTCTTATTTCTCAGACAAAATTCAGTAAAGTTTATCTGAAGGTGAACCTTCCTCTGTCGTCCTTGTATACTGAAGCCTCAAGGTGTCCCTCGAATTACTGTCCTTCTCCTCTTACTTCTTCCCTTCTACGTGGTCTGCCCCTTTCGAAAGAAATCGATTCTGTTAAATATGCTGAGGATCCTACTGTCTCCTTGTCGATCACTTCGTGAGTTGACTCTTCAAAACTGAATAGTTTTCTGTTCGACATTGGCCAGTTGGCTAAGCTTAATAGTCTTAAGTTAAATAAATCCTTCCAAATGTCAGGCAGTTAACTTCACCTTCAGGAATCCATATGATCTCGATGAAGTCATTAGTTCACACGATACTTGTAGCTTAGAAATCACTGAAATAGTATAGAGAATAAGTCAAGCATAAAATACCCTTCCACAGTTCAGTTCAATCCTCTCACATTTCTTGGTAGGTCATCCCATATCCTGTCTAACCACCTTCTATACTATGAAGTCAAGATGATATGGAATTACTCAACCTTTGATTGGACAATTTGCTAACTCTTGCATCTTACCTATTATTCTTCACTGCTCCCCACCCTTAATCTTCCCTGGACTACTCAAAAAGGACTATAACATATTGCGAAGGGTATTAAAGGGTGTCAGTAGAGGAAGTAGTGTGTGGTGCCACCACTAAGTCAGCTCAAAACTACTGTAGTCGACAGACACCTAAACAGCTGATGTGAGAAATGGTCTAAATGCGTATTGTCTGACTCTCACTACCCTCTCTGCTGAATCTCATCTGATAGGATTAGAATTCATCATAAAAGATGACATATTCACTAGCACAAAGAAGTACAAAATGTCAGTGGTACCCTATTTGGCCTGCTCACTCGCTCACCCGTGTTCCATGTGATAAAGGTAGTGTTGAAGCACACAATCACACATAGAGATATTTATATAATTCCGAGTGTACATCTGAGTTAAGTGGATTTGCCGAAAATCGACTCTTCGCTGGACTGCTTGCTCTTATTTCCGGAAAGCTGTAGCAATAATCTTTAGGGAACAACCTGAGCCTTGTGTTCACGCACATATTATCCAGTATCTCTTACTATGGATTTAATGTCATTTACATATTTTCGATTTGTTGCGTAATAAACTCTATGTAAAGGTATTTTGTGACTAAATTTCAATTCTTTGTTCACTTTTTTTCTGTGAGTGAGTTACTTCCAGGTAAGTAGTCATCATTTCATAGCTGTTTAGTCGTACATACCTACAAATAAATTACAATGAACAATAACAATAAATTTTCTCTTGTGTGTGTGTATATATTACAAACACCGCAAAAACACAAAATAACAGTGAAGGCAGAACGATTCTCACTTTAATGATATGATGTCACCTCCTGAAGCATTTTGTTGCAGATGAACTCAAACTTATCAGCAATGGCGCATTAGGCATAAAACATAAGCTAGTAAAGAAGATGCCAGGCTGTGAAAAGGTAATATCCTACTTCAGTTTGTGAAAGTCGATTGAGTTTATTGATAAGTCTTCGTACAGGAAGACCATAAGTCATATTATTATATGTGTAAAGCTTGGGCACTGTGGTAGTAAGTAATTCCATATTAGTTTGTTTATCAGATATATCCCACAGTGAAACAGTATTAGTATTTACTGGACGACGTTTCGAACAAAATTTATTGTTCATAATCATATCAACTGTAATCACACGACTTTGAGACTTGAGTTTTATTACAATCTCGTCTTCACCAAAGAGTATAGTAAAACAGATGTGATGAGTTGTCATAATCATAGCTGTTAGTTGATATTAGTCAGTGGTTAAGAGAAGTTGAGTAATACTATCCCGAATGATCTCAGAAAGGCGACAGTGGCTCTACAACACCATCTTCAGGGTAATCTACCAAATGAAGAATATCCTACCAAAGACAGGTAGTACGCTTTGATGAACCTGTAGCTATTCAGATAAGAAAACTGAAGCTATGCATACAAAAGAAAATTATTTGACCACTCCTACTTCCAAAAGTCTTGTAACGATCGTGTTGACTTCTGATGACACGATTTTATTTCTGTTTGACCCTAACTCATGTATTTCTCTAGAACTCTTACGTCATTCCATATTTTCCTTCCTTTCTATGTGCATTCTGATAACAACTCATTCATTCTTCAGTTTACACCCATCAAATGATTCATCTTATCACGGAACTCTAATACACTTATTCAACTCCTATTATGCGATGACTGGCATTAATTAACAATTATGTTTGTGACAATTCATCACTTTATGGATCAGAGACTTGGCGCATCATGGAGAGCACCTCAAACAAACTACAGACCTTCATCAACAGCTGTCTTCGCTCAGTACTCCGCTGTAGATCAGATGGTCGGAAAATATCAGCAACAGGGATCTATGGGAGCGAACCAACCCAGCAGGAACCGATTGTGCAAGAAATAAGCAGGAAGAAATGGAGGTGGATTGGATTGGCCATTCTTTGAGAAAACCATCAAGTGACATCACACGCTAGGACATTGCTCGAGTGGAACCCGAACGGGAAGCGGCGAGTTGGTCGTCAGCTTGAGGCTGACATGGAGGAGGCCATGTGAAGAGGAGATGAAAGCATGTGGGCAGACGTGGAGTTAGGAGAAAACGCTGTCAGAGAACCGAACGCAATAGAGACGTGCGGCTGAGATCCTATGTTCCTATAGGAACTAAAGGGAACAATAATATAAAATAATAATATACTCTTACCACCCTCATTCATGGAAAAATAACTGTATGTTAATTTGCTTGCATAGCTCGACAGGAAACATAGAAATTCGTTGATCACAGCCTCTTCAGTGAGTAGTATACAGATTTGTAGTGAGCAGTTGGGCAAAATAATCTCTTTTTGTTAACTTGTGCATTCCGTATTCTTAAATCACATCACATCACAAGAGGGAGGCCTACTGCTGTTATTATTCATGATAATCTCAACCTTACCTACTTGGTTGAGTCAGCTAACTGAGTCAAGAAACTTCACATTCTATGACGAAAATGAACAAAATGAAGAATATTTCACATTTTTGATAAGGAAAAAGTACAATTTGTTAAAAATGTGACTAGTGAAGAAACACTGACTGATAATGATGATGATGTTGATGATTTGTCTAAGCAGTAAAACAAAAGAAAGAAAGAACACAGTCGAGGCATCTTCTTCTCCTCCTCCTCCTCCTCACTCTGATTACCATTCTCACTACTTAATCGATTGTTTGATTATTTTACAGTAAACTAGTGAATGACGAGATTTTATTTTCTCCAAATATCAACTTTCACTTCTACAGACTTATTGCTTAACTTCTCCTTTGGTAGGTAAAGAGATAGAATATTCCCTGTCATATTTTTCATTATGTAATCTGGATGTAGACTCAGCATAAATCCATTAGGATAATGAACAGATTGTGGTATGTAAATCTCTGCAATCAACACGACTTGTTCATCAACACTTCGATTAGATGGTATTTCAGCAACGTCGGATTGGTGGAGTGTAGAAAAACAAAAATGAAAATCTCCCGTCTTATGATTGAAACGAAGTTTCTTCAGTTCACCATTTGTTGATTGAGGATAAGGTCGAATGAAAGATTTCACCTGAAAAATGAAAATGGGATAATGAGACAAAAACAAACACACACACACAAAAGACCATTGGTTGACTAACAGTATTTTGTCCACGCCAAGTAAAGTAGTAAGTTGCATCATACTGGAGAGAATAAAGCATGCACTGGATACAGAAATCCGCCAGCCACACCGGAACTAGCTCGCTGGAATCAGGAAAGACGAATCATGTGCTGATCAAATTGCAAATATACGCATTGTCATCACAGAACAAAGCATAGAATGGTAGTCAAACCTCACTCTACCACATATTCATCGACTTCGGAAAGGTATTTGACAGACAACGTTGACTGAGAAGCTATTTGGAAGCTACATTAACATTATGGCGGACAGTGACCAAGTCTTTATCAACCTCATTCAACAGCTGGCTATATGATGATGATATCACGTGTCAGATGATCCACAACAGGAAACTCTGAGAGGTGTTCGAAGTGAATACAGCTGTAAGACAAGCTGACTGGCTGGTTGGCCGCCTATTATCACCAACGATGATATTCTTAATTGTGGTGGACTGGATTATACGTCAGACTGTGCGTTAAGAGCGAGGAGTCAGGGATACGCTGGACTACCAATAACAAGACTCTGGAAGATCTGGATTTTTCAGATGATGTATGTCTCATGTCATACAAACTCGAAGACTTGCAGGTAAGCGAAAACTGGCACTAGAGGCAGGCAGCCGAGACAGGATTTCAGGTGAACATAAAGAAAACGGAGGTGCATAGATACTCACTGACCAACAGCAACAACAACCAGCATCAATCACCATCAACGGGAGAGATTTAATAGAGGTTACCTCCTCCACTTATCTGGGAAGTATAGTTTCAACTACAAGCAGCTGGAACGGATGAAGATGTCACTACCAGCCAGTCAGAATGAAAAAGGCAAGATACGCCTTCATCAACCTGAAACCAGTTTAGAAATTTTCTGCACTCAGCATAAGGAACAAGATTAGAATTGTCAACACCAATGTTAAGCAGATTCTTCTATACGAGTCAGAAAAAGCGAGCTGTAGACTTTCATCAACAGCTGCCCACTTCGCTGACTCCCTACTGAAGATCAAATGGCCAACGAGAAAGAATTAGTAACAAGAAACTCTGGGAACAAAGAAACCAAGACTCTATCATGTGAGGAGGAGATAAGTGATTCTGGGCAATCGTGGTGTCAGCCAGATGAAGAGGATGGATCTCAATGTACCATAATCTACAGTCACCTGGATGAATGCATGGACGCGATAGATCTATCGCGCATGGTATCACTTCCCTATAGATCATACGTGACAACTATATAGTTTAGTGCCATATTCTCAGTAGTTTTCGATGCATTTTTCAACGATTATGCGACTCTTTTGTATCCGAATTCTGATTGGTTGCCCAAAGTCACTGCAATTTTGGCTATGAAAGTCTCACGTTTCCGCTGAAATTTTCGTTTATTGGGCTGATTTTTCTAGTAGAATTAGGTATTGATATTTACTGAATTTCAGCATCGGGTCCCAGTAACTTAATGGTCTACGAGTTAGCTTGCCTTGTAACCGGAAGGTTGTGGGTTTGAACACTGACGGTAGATGCGTACTTCTCAAGTGTCCCAAACTAGGCTGACGACACAGCTGTTCAATACTCTAGACTGATTTTCCAGTGGTTCTCTAAACGATGTCAGTTCATAGTGAAATCCTGAAACCAATCAAATCCATGCAAACCAACACTTGAAATCAACACTCATTTAACGCTAACCCTAATTTATATCCAGAAACAAATAAGAACAGACTGTAGTAGTGTGATGAGAGCTATCTGCAAGACAAAATTGTAGACAACAATTGACGTCAGTGTTAACTTCCCAAATCGGGGTCATAAGGAAAACCAAGAACAAAGCTTAACCCTGAGAAACTCAACAACCAATCATAACAAACTTAGCGTGAGCGGATACGATTCGCAGATATATCACCGGACTGTCTAAGAAACGGTAACAAAGAGATGACAGAATAACCTTCAGCAGGAAAACAACCAATCAGAAGACGTTACTTCTCTGCTAACAATAACGAATAATAATGTACATAAAAATCAATAAATATCTGTTGGTTTTCTCAATAAACGATCTATTGCCTGGCTCTTGTCTTCTGTCGTTACAGTAGTAGTAATATTGTATCCTTAGGAAATAAGTGAAATTCAGATAGCCAGCAAACGTATGTCTACAGTGTAGCAGTTATGTCAACACACAGAATGCACTCAGTGTTTATTATAATCCTCAAACAAACTCAGACAGTCACACATTAATAACCTTCATTGAGTCATAGTCGGCACATGCTTAGGAAAACCAACAGAGGGAGCTGGCATACTGCATATTAATGCATCCCATAGTATTGTGCATACAGAGCTACAGGGTCAATACACAAAACAGTAAGACTGATTGTTTTATGAATGAATTATATATGTGACTGCTGTATGAATATTTATCAATGAGCATATATATAATACATCTAAATATACGTGTTGTTCGCTTGGGTTTTGAGTGGAACAGAGAGCTCCAGAGGTACACCTCCATTTTATGCTGTTCTCTGCAGTCCAACTTAGGCGGCTAAACCACTAATCGTACACTCTTATCTCCTTCTCATACGACTCCATGCATGTCACCATCAGACATGCAACTCTTCGTCCCCCATTCACCTTCCATTCGTACAGTGGTCTGGAGTGAGACGCCATCCAACGATCTCCTCAGCATCCACCGCATCCATCTCCATTTTCTTCGGCATATTTTTTTACTTTCGTCACAATCGCTTCTCGATTGCTCCGTTCCCAAAGCTTCTTGTTGCTAATTCTTTCCGCTTTCCATGTGATCTTCAGTATGGAGACGGAAAATCGGGTAGCTATTGATGAAAGTCTGCAGTATCCTGTTGGAAATGCTAAATAATCACTGGTGTTGAAAATGCGATCCGAATTTTATTGTTCATTCCGAGTGCAGCCAGTTTCTAAATTAATTTCACAGTGATGAATTTCTGTTTTGCGTTTCCTATCCTTGCTTGTTTTCCCATCCTCATCTACATCCATGACATGTGGCTGCAGTTGAAACCATGCTTCCTAGATAACTGGAAGAAGTCACTTCCCTGAGATTTCTCCCGCTGTCATCATGGTTAGTGCTTGTCCTTGTTACTGATGTTTTGTTGGTCACTTGGTATCTTCATCACCCAAATCGTCTTCTCTATGCTCACTTGAAGTTCCTGTCTTCACTGCCTACTTCTTCTGACAGTTTGCTGTACCCAGTTCACCTGTAAGTCTTCGAATCTATGTGATATTGAACATAAATCACCCGCCAACTTCAAATCTTCTAGAATCGTCTAGAGTTTTTTGATGCCATTGAATTTCATCTGACAGATTTTCGACACAAATCAACAGCAGTTACAGAGATGGCTGAAAAGCAGGACTGGGAGCATTGAAAAGCTGTTTCCTCCCAGCTTGGTACTCTTCAGCAGGTCATGTGCACTCACCACCCACCCACCCTCACAAAATCCAGGTGAAGTGGATTGCTATCGAAGATATCGTTCAGAGTAGCGCCACACCACGAATTGACCCAATTAGAATTGTATCTATCCCTTCAAGTGGTCCCTCCTGTTGAGCCATTGCTCTACAGACCTAATTTTTTATGCTGGTTCGGAAACACCTACAACTGACTGCGGCTAAATAAAGCTCTCGCCAAAACTGTTAACAGTTTTACATTGGACGACCCAACCTCGAGCGAATAAGCCATAAATCTGGCTATAGTTGAAGAGTTTTTTCCTGTCATCCACCGGGTACCGAATAAATTACAAAAACTCCACTAGATACCTAAAACTTCAAACACCAGAGGCCATTGAAATTTGCTCAGGTCAACCGGGGCTCTGCTTGGAAAACAAACACGTTCAGTCAATTAGCCAGGCACGATCAGTACCCTCCTCATTCCTTGTTATACCCAAAAATTCATAAGTTCTGTGTGATTACTTCATTTATCTTATTTGGTATTCATTCGTTTCAGTGTTATATTAATGCATATTATCTCTTTCTTTCTGTCTCTCTCCCTTACTGATGATGCTTTAGTGAACTGTAGTCATCTATCGATTGATTCAATGTCATATTAAACAGCATTCATCTTGTTGCTGAGAATATTTCCTTCATTATAATGGACATACAGCAGTTATAGAACCTGATTCGGAGCAGTTTATCGACAAGTGAGTGGATTCTGACCCAGGTGACTGAATGACCGTCAGCAAGCTTTGTCTGGTAATCTGAAGATCCCGTGTTCCATCCTTACTTCATGATGTCGGTGGTAAGCACTGCTAAAAACTCCTGGAATAGGACAATAAAGATGTCTACTCCTCCTTACTGCCAATCGATCATCTCTCCCCCTCCTCTCTCCCTCTCTCTGTAACTGATGTGTTGATTTCTGACGAAAATCCAACAGGATTGTCATCATGAGCTGACATTAGTTAGAGAACCATTGGAAAACCTGGGAGTACTGGACAGCTGTTTCGTCCTAGTTTGGGACTCTTCATCAGTATGAACCCACCGGGGTTTGAACCCAGTACCTTCTGGTTGCAAGGCGAGCTCGTATACCATTAACTAACCAGAAGGTCCTGGGTTCGAATCCCGGTGGGTGCGTACTGATGAAGAGTCCCAAACTAGGACGAAACAGCTGTCCAGTACTCCCAGGTTTTCCAATGGTTCCCTAACTAATGTCAGCTCATGATGACAATCCTTTAACCTATCAAATCCCTACAAACCAACACTTGAAAATCTAACAATTCAAATTAATCCAAATTACCACAAATCTCATAACTTGAACATCACTGAATTCGTTTTAAAATTAGCATTGTATTTATTGAGAGTTTTAAACATTGAAGATGAGGCTGTTGTTTTGTTTGTTTCTGTTGTTGTTGTGTTTGTTGTTGCTATGATCGTCAAAACATTGTGCTTATAACTTTTAGCTGGTGTGGCTTGATCGGCTGGCTATCCGCTGGCTAGCTGACTACAAATTCAAGCCTCATGTGGCTGGCTGTATTAGTCGGATAAGTTTATTTGACATAACACACGCACACACAGTGATACAACATTCATAAGTAGATAAGCCTTTGAGGTCAATCTATTCTTCTGATACACTAATCGATATCCAGTCTGTAAATAAACGAATCACAACTGGCCTACATAAAATACGCTCACTAGTTTTTTGATCATGATTAGAGACTAATTGATATAACCTTGGTGAATTATACGTTATTGTGTCAATTTACTTACTTCCTCGTCTCATCTTTTGTGTACTGTCGCTCAGTTTGCGGGCTGAGAGACGGAAATAGAGAGAGAGAACAGTTAGCCATTGTATTTGCTGTAAACACACGATACTTTGTGATGATTACTGTCCCTGTGTCTGTCACCAACTGGGTGTACCTATTTCAACTTAACTTTTTGAGAAATATAGTCTGTTCATATCCAAGGGTTTCATTCAGTACACTTTCACCCTTTTCCTTTCAATCGAAAATGAATTGAAGAAGGCAGTATAGTGTAGCCTTGCCTTCAGTCGCCTTATAAAAAGTTTCTTGTATACACAGACATTGCACCGGTGGGAAGATCCAGGAAGATCTGGACTTCACGGATGATTTATGTCAAATGTTAGACAAACTCGAAGATCTACAAATATAAAGCGACAATTTGTCAGAAGAAACTGAGTAGGGAGATAGGACCTCCAGTGAACATGAAGAAGAAGAAGAAGAAGTGAAAACTGAAGTGGATATCTGAGCGAAAACAACAGCACATCTTCATTATTCTGAGATCACTGTGGAAATCCACTGCATTCAACAACATAAGGAATAATATTCGATTTTATAACAATAATGTCAAATCAGTGGACATGCATGTCTCAGAGAATTAGAGATTACGCGCGCGCACGCGTGCGTCACCAACAGAATTTCCAGCAACCCGCTGCAGACACTGGCACTGAAAGTCAGATGACCGGTTGATCAGAAAGCATAAACAACAAAGAATTCTGGGGACGAATCAACCAACCAAGAAACTATGACCGAAGAAATATTCCGTAGGAAATTCAGATGGATCACACACATGCTGAGGAGACTCTCAAGTAACATCAGGTGTCAAGCCTTCGAATGGAACCCGAATGGAGAAAACGAGTTGGTCGTAACATAGAGAGTATCATGGAAGAGACCATGTGGGGATGAAGTGAATGCTTATAGTCAATCTTGCAGTCAGCTATAAACTATTGAAGAGAAAAGAACGAAATCGGGATGTAGTTACGAAGCCCTATGTTACACTTGGAACCTGAGGGAATAATCATGAATAATAATAATAATACCCTTCGAACAGGTCTCTTCAATATTACTTGAAAACCGAAGTGTAAAATGTGGAGAAGAACTTCTAATGGTAGAAAAATTAAAATAATCGCTTACCTGACTGTCAATAGGATTGCCCTTTTCGTCGAGAAAGTTTCCATCCCAATAGGTCCATGATTCAAAGCGTTTATCAACTTCATCAAGTATAGCATTGCATTCAACTGTATTCACACTCTTCGCATTTCCATCATCTCCGCATAGGCCAAATTCAGTTAGAAATCGACCACCTCCAGTCCTCTGAATAGCTTTAATAGCATTCGATATAACGTCCGGTAATAGGAACTAAATACAGAACAGGTAAAATGTCAACAACAAACAATCAATATAGCTGCTGCATATTCAGCAGTTTCCTATGCAGAATTATACTCCCAAAACTCTGTGCTGAGATGACTGATGCAGTGGGTTATGACAGTAGTTTGTTGAACTGATCGCCGAGAAAAGAACAAGAAGTTCAGCAAAGATGTCTAACTTTTCGGCGATTTCATTCTCAAAAGCAGCTGAAAAATCGCATTTATTTGCACAAGTTAACATAGATACATTTATTATTTAATTCCACATAGTAACGAAGGAGGAAATTAAAGGTGATAATAATATTCAACTTCACATGGAAATTAGAAGATGTATGAATATATATTACTAGGGGGTTATAGACAAGATTACATAGGATTAGAAAACAGTTTCGATGTATATAAAACGGTTTTTTTAAATTAATATTTTGACAACTCGAAAAATAATTTTAACTCCTAGATATTTGTTGGACGATAGATTCTTATTTAGTTTCTTTACCAGAGCTTCTCGTTGCTTATTCTTTCTGGCCATTTTATCTTCAATATGAAGACAGAGAAGGCAACTGTTGATAAAAGTCTGGTTGTTAAAAAATCCAAGTTTCTGACCCATTTAGAGGTACTAACTGACTGACTTTACATTTGTGTTCAAAATCCGAATCTTATTAGTTATGTTAAGTCATTACAAGATTTCAGAAGATTTCCAAACTGGTTTCAGGTTGATGAAGGAGTATCTTGCCTTTCCAATCCTCACTAGCTTTTAAATCTTCATCCGTACCGACTGCCTGTAGTTGGGACTATGCTTCCCGACTGGATAAGTGAAGGAGGTAACCTCTGTTAAATCTCTCCTGTTTATGGTGATCGCTGCTGGTTGTTGTTGTTGATGTTGGTCGGTTATCTTCATCACCTCCATCTCCAACTTCTCAATGTTCACGTGGATGGTTTCCTGTCTTCGCTGACAAGTAGCAAACCATTATCTTCTATCAGTTTGTTGCTAGTTTTCGCTTGCCTGCAAGTCTTCGAGTTAGTGTCACATTAAGCATAAGTAATCCAAACGCCAAATCCAAATCTTCTAGAGTCTTCCTATTGGTCAGTGCAGCGTATTCCTATCTTCTCACTGCCAACTCACACAATGGCGCATAATCCAGTCCACCACAGTTAGGAATATCATAGTTGCTGATAATAGGCAGCCAGCTTGTCTTATTCCTGTCTTTACTTCAAAGGCAGGCTTCACTTAGTTTTCCATTGTGGATCACCTGACGCACTGCATTGTCATTTAGCCAACTGTTGAATGAGGTTGATAAAGATTCGGGCACTACACGCAGTAGTGTTGAAGCAATTTCCAAATTACTCCTCGGTCAATAATTGTATGGCGAGCAAAATATTTGCTAGTCTTCTTAAATGATGACACCTTACAGGTTACACATACACACCAAAATTGTCTACTAATTTTTCCAACAGGTTGCAGACATTTATCAACAACTGTCTTCGTTCTATACTCAAGATCAGATGGCCGGAAAGAATTACCAACAAGAAACTATGGGCACAAACAAAACAAGAACCAATCGCCCAACAAATATGCAGGAGAAAGTGGAGATGGATTGGACACTCGCTGAAGAGGCCGCTGGGTGACATCGCGCGTCAGGCCCTTGAGTGGAACCCAAAAGGGAAACGACGAGTGGGACGTCCAAGGGTGATATGGAGGAGATCGTGTGAAGAGGAGTTGAAACAATATGGATTAACATGGATGCAGGTGAAAAGTACAGCAGAAGACAGAAACAAGTGGAGATGTGCAGTTCCACTAGGAACTCAAGGGAACAGTAATAATGTAATAATAATATTTCCAACTGACTAATTAACTTCAAATCCACATTTGTTCTGGTGTCTACCACAGTTATTATTCACTTTTGCAAAGGGAAAAAACAAAACAGTCAGAAATTTACCTCATCACAAACAATTTTCTTCCAAAATGGCATAGTTGAATTTGAATCGTCTGTTTGTAGAATCCAACAGTAATAATGGTAGGATAAGACACTTTTATTCGGCGCTGATTTATCTTTGTTCGCTCCCGGTACACGTTCAAATCCTGTGCCTAACCAACTCGTAGTGAAAGGAGTAAATATCCCATATGTAATTGGTTCATAAAATATCAGTGTGTTATTATCATGTTTCCGTATTCGTTCAACCAGATAATCGTATACCGGTTGCAGATTATATCGTCCAGCGTAACCTGAAGATGATGATAATGATGACAATATTGAAATAAAACAAAACGCAAACAAAAGAGCAACATAAGGCAGGGGAAAAACCAGCCTATTACCCCTAAAAATAGCATGATGAAGAAGGGAACGGAGATGCTTAGTAACAATAATAGTAATAACATTAATATAAGTGTAAAACACGAAATGTAATTCCAAATGAGATAATTTTATTTAGAATATCACACACAGTGATGCAGTATTAACATCTGGATACCGTTAATACTCAAAATCTAATCAATCCATTAAGTCCTGCCTCCATTAACAACACTTGTTGCTTGTCTTAGTGTATTTATCGGAGTCCTTAGATCACTTAGCAATTATACTGTCTTACAGCGGCTGTCAAAGTCTACTGAATAATCAGTCTCCTTAATCTGAAAATGAATTTTCCAAGCACCAGAATTCCTGTGAATTAAAATTGTACAGACAAGTGGTAGGTTTCTCGTCGATTACCATGATTATTATTATTGTTCCTTTGGGTTTCACATGGAACTTAGGTCTTCAACAGCACATCTCGATTTCACGCTGCTCTCTGCAGTCCTTTTTAGATGATCCCATGATTGTTGGAAATCTTTTAATTCCTATTTACACTAGCTCCTGCATATCATCCTTGTACCGACAGCTAACTCGTCTTCTCCCATTGAAGGTTTCATTCATGGGCTAGCCTGACGTATGATGTTATTCAACGGTCTCTTTAGAGTGTCGCGCTGTGACATTTCTACTATCCCACACTTACATCAGGAGACAGGAATACGCTAGGCTACCGATAAGAAGACTCTAGAAGTTTTGGATTTCACGTGTGAATGATTTATGTTTAATGCCACACTAACTCGAAGACTTCTAGCAGAAAACTGGTGATAAACTGGCTGAAGAGGCAGGGAAGACAGGACTCCATCCAAGTGAACATTGAGAAGGTGGAGACGGAGGTGATGAAGATAACCGACCAACATCAACAGCAACAGCAACCAGCAGAATCAATCACCATCAACGAAAGAGATTTAACAGAGGTTACCTCCCTCACTTATCTAGACTGAAGCATCGTTTCAACTACAGGTGACAGCACGGATGAAGATGTCAAAGTCAGTCAGAATCGGAAAGACAAGCAAGATATGCGTTCATAAACCTGAAACCAGTTTTGACATCTTCTGCACTCAGCATAAATAACAAAATTCGGATTTCCAACACCAATGCCATGTTGGTCCTTCTATACAGGTTAGAAACTTGACGGCGCGTCAAGAAAAGGATTTCCAGCAGGTCGCGAACTTCCATCAACAGCTGCCTTCGCTGGCTCCATACTGAAGACCAGTTAGCCAGCTAAAAAGAATTAGTAACGAGAAACTGTGGCAGTGAACAAACCAACCAAGAGCCGATCGTTCAAAATTGTGTAGGAGAAAATGTAGATAGAGTGATCAAGCATACATTGAGGAGAATGTCGAACGAAATCGCGCACAATGCAGACCATCGCTCGAGTGGGTTCCAAACTAAAAGCAACGAGTGGGTGGTCGGCGCTATTGTGACATGGAGAAGATAGTGTGAGCTGGAGGAAGAGATGACAGATTATTGTCAATCCTGTGGCTAGCCAGCTGAAGAGGATGGTAGAAAATGGAAGAAAGTGGAGATGTGTTGTTGAAGTCGTATGTTCCACTCGGAACCCAATGGAATACTAATAATAATGCACACTACCATCACACGCTTTCGTGAGTCATTGGTTCAATGGTATAATATCTCATAAACCAAAAACACTTGGTCCGGATTCGATTCAAAAACAACCTAATACTACTACTACTACTAATGAATCCTGCTTAATCAGTAGTAAGAAGGAAAGTCGGGTATTAACCCAAACCGATACCTTTTTAGAGCTCAGACTTCAAAAAAAGTAAAGGACACCAACAACAAAAAAGTAATAAATATCATCTCATGACTGATTTACCTGAAAGACCACGCAATGGATTTGTATAATAGTTACCCGGTGGCGGTTCATTGATCAATTCATAACCAAGTACATTTGTAGTATGCTTAAATCGTTCAGCAACTACTTCCCAAAAATCACCCCAATGACTCCATGAATTCGATACATTATCATATAACTGTTGGGCTGCATTACTGCACTCATAAGTTAAATAATTACACATTTCACAGTTCGGTGATTGTTTATACGGCCAAGGATATTGTAGAGCAGGTGATGGTCTTTTGAACTGATCAATCAACCATAGTGGTATTCCATCGTATGTACCATAACGCGATGATAAAGCATCCTGATGCATGTCTAATATTACATAGATATTATACTGTGCTAACAGATTGACTATTTTTTCAATTTGATCTAAGTATGTGGTATTAATGACCGACTGATTAGGATATACTCCACTCCATATGACTTGTAAACGAATTGTATTGATACCCCAGTTTTGAAACATTTTCACCTGTGTTGTATTCAACACTTGTTGATAATACCATGGAAAAGATTTACGAACAGAATTAAATCCACGAAATAGTTTGATAAATCCACGAGAGTCAATAAATTGTCCATCTGTATTCAAGGTTATTTTATTCAAGCCAGTTAGTTGTGTAGATCCTGGTGGAGGTGGTGATGATGATGACGATGACTGGGTCACAAGAAGAAGAAGAAGAAGGATCAGGCAACAGGCAATCGACCAGAGAGTATCACGCATAATTGTGTAATTTTTTACACTCTAATTGACAGGATAGAGACAATGAAATATATATATATAGGCGGCCGACTGATCACCAATCAACTGATACACTAAAATTTGTATTGACCATTCAGAGATTTTCAGATAAATCAGGCAGTGTTCCATTCATCCAATAGAGAAATAAGACTCATGAACCTTATCATAAATGATGATAATGACGATGACAAATTACACACATATACACACACACACAAATGGACACAGACACAAACGACCGGAAACATGAAACATGATACTATTTTCATAAGTGTGCATGCAAAACAAGTTAACATCTACTCCGCTAATCAAACAAACATGCAATACATGCAACAAGAAAGATTGTTATTGTGATCAAAATTGAATCTTTTTGCCATCTGATTTAACATCTGACTTAGACTGAATCAGAATTTGTTAATTATCTGTATTCTATCTCAAAATTCTGTGTTTCAAATAACAGTTGGAGTGAGACAGATAGATACGTAGATCTATATGGAACATATGTGAAATTCGGTTTGTTATGGTTTATAATCAGCACATTATGACCTCTGATGTAAATGAATGAATTGTATATAGGGTTGTGAAATAAGAACAGTTATGCAGTTAACGACACACAAACTTATAGTTATAGTTATTTTCGATTATTTATCTTATACTGACCATTATATTATGTAAACAATAGACAATTAACTTGTCACGTGATAGAGAACTATTTCACTTATTATTATCATAGGGCTTCGACAGCAGATCCCCACTTTGTCCTATTCCCTGCAGTCCTCTCCAGCCAGTTCTGTGATTGCTTATAAGCACTTATCTCCTACTCACATAATCTGCTCCATGTTACCCTCGGACACACTCCCAACTCGTCTCCACCAATTCAGACTCCACTCAAGAGACTGCCTGGAGTGCGATGTCAGTGTTGAAATCTGAACATAACCCTAATTTCTTGGCGCACCTAACCTTTCAAGGTAGACTTCTATTTTCATTCCTTCTTCGAGTCCTTTTCATTGTACTATATTCTATATTACATCATCTCTTTGTTATATTTCTCATACATCAAATTTCACTTCTTCTTTCGATCTCCTGAGTTCTATTCATCATATTTTATTATGTCTTGTCAAGAAGCTGTTGCTGACGTACCTAACTCCTTAGGTAGTGTCACTACTAACAGTGATTTTCACGAGAAACGTCGCCCTAATAATATATAAATATGTTATTATTCCTTTGGGTTCCCCACTTTGATCTGTTCCCAGCAGTCCTCTTCAACCGGTTCCGCGATGTCCAATAAGCTTTCATGTCCAACTCAAACAATCTCGTCCATATCACCCTCGGACATACGCCCAACTCGTCACTTTCCATTTGGGATCCACTCTAGTGATAGCCTGGAGCGCGGTATCACCCAACGATCACCTAAGCGTGTATCCAGTCCATCTGCATTTTATTCAGAATATTCATTGCTTTAACAATCGATTCTTGATTGCTAATCATTTACACTGATTATCTGATCTTCCGTATGCAGTAAACGGAGACAGCTGTTCATCAAAAGCCTAAAGCGGGCTATTCGAAATGCTCTTCGTGAATCATGCGCCAAGTTTCTGACCCAAATAGAGGCACTAACTAACCTAACATTGGTGTTGAAAATTAGAATTCTCTACTTTATGCTGAGTAATGAAGAGGATTTCCAAACTGAATTCAGCGCGCTGTAAGTCTCGCCCACCTTTCCAATCCATCCTGGTTTTGACCTACTCATCCGTACAGCCAGCCTGTGCTTGAAACGATTCTTCCTAGATAAGTGGGAGAAGTAACCTCTTTTAAATATTTTTCGCTGACAGTGATTGGGACTTGTTGTTTGTTGGTTGGTAAGTATTTTCATCACCTGCGTCCTCTATGTATTCACTTTGTGTCCTGTCTTCTGTTCTCGTCTCTTCTACCTGTTTGTTGGTTTTCGCCAGTTAGTCTCCGAGCTTTTATGGGACATAAATCACCCGCGAAATGGAATCTTCCTATAGGTTAGTGCAGCGTATTCCTGTCTGCTCTCAGTCTGCAACAGTCTGCCGCTTAATCTTACAAAGATATATATGCCCAGTCTGGTTGGTGGTGATCACCAGTGGAATCCATGTTGTGCATATTTCTTTCGGTTAGAGATTTTTCACCTTGGGATGTACCTATATTTTCCAGTGACTGAGTGAAAGGGTTCTCACTTAGCCAAGACCCATCCTTTCATACACCAAAGAGTTATCCACTGAGTCGTAAAAGCTCACCTCTTGTGCAGAATGCACCAGTTATTACTATTCCTTTTTGATTTCATTCTCCACTCCTGTTGGTTGATTATGTTGGAGTGAAATGCCCAGTATCAGTTGACCTGGTACATTGGCTGAAACAATATCTGGAGATTAACATGATGTTAATTTCATGGATGGATTAGACACTGTTGGTCACCCCATGGTCAATGGCAATAATTCACTTTTATACTAGGCAAAATGCACACGTAAGCACAGATTTACTATAATCGGTGGGTACAATATATAAAGATAAAGTCATACTATTATTACTATTTATCATCCGAATTTATTGATTTCTGAAGCTATAATTCTTGATTAAGCCATCAACTGGTGAGGCCATCAGTATGGAACAGCTTCACGCGGGTTGTACTTTCTTATCTTTAAGACTTTTCTACATCAAGAATAGCTGGTAATATCACATTCCCAATGGAATTGCATATTTAACCACCAACTGACATAGTTGTCAGTAGTTGTCAATTCGTTGTCAGTAGTCTGGGGGGGGGCTTTAATTCATACGATCAAAGCTTCGTCATATCACTTGGTCATCAGAATCTCGTCAAATTCAATACTCGTTTGGACGAAACTCTAGACCTGGTTTTCGTGAACGATCGTGATATATACGAGGTGAGAAGAAGACCTCCATTGCTGTATTCTGGCCACTGCATTATTCGTATTTTACCGGAAGTGTATGGTAAGTTACGCAGAAGAGCCCTTGCTCACCCAACAAAGAAAATCCAAGAACGATCTTATTCACATGGAAATAGTCAAGCACTAAGATGTATGTTGGATGATACTGACTGGGGCATATTCTCTGATGAAGTATCAGACGTTACTGTCTCTAATATCACCTCTTATTTCAAGTTCTGCTTGGACATTTGCTGTCTAACTGAAGCACTGTTCACGAAAATCGATAGGATCTCTTCTCCACAACTAAGAAAATTTAGAAGAGAAAAGAAGAATTGGTATAAACCACATAATAATGCAGGTGTTCGGATAATAAACTCTCTGATAAATTCTGGAATACAAAGACCAAATGGGATATGCCATGAAAACTTTTTATGATGTAGCAATGTTTCTAGCATCTGGAAACTCTTCAATCGACTTACAAGCAGAAATCGAATTTCATTTGGTGCTCATCCTGATGTAAATAACTTAAATAGATCTTTTACAATACAGTGAGTTAATATGACTGCACCTGATGTTTCTAGTCACGCAAATGATCATTTCCCTGGTTTTAATGAAAAGGATATATTAAAATGTCTCAAATCCTTTAATCCATCACACAACATGGGTCCCGATGGTGTACCAAGCATTTTGCCTCAAGAGTGTGCTGATATTCTGTGTTGTCCTCTTGCTAAAATCTTTATTGCATCGTTTCAAATGGATGCAGAACCTGTTGTCTGAAATGAAATAAAGGTGGTGCATGTACCAGAGTCATCGTCTTCTGGATCAAGTCTAACATTTTTGAAAACTGTGGAGAAACATCTGTTGCATGTTCTTAAACCTTCTTTGAGATCTTTTAATGACCCCAAGCAGTTCGCTTACAAATGTAGTGGAAGCATATTAGATGCTGTCGTGGTACTCCACCGCAATATTGTTTCAAGTCTTGATAAAGATGCAGAGTTTGTTCCAGCCTCCTTCTGTAGACTATACATAGCTGCTTTTGATGACTCTATTCCTAGGGTACTTTAACTAAGCAAGCTGATTTCAGCACGCACTGAGTCCAGCTCTGTCACAAGGTGGCTGGCTGTCTTCCTATTTTTCTTCCGGGTAGAAAATAACATACTGTTTTCAATGGAAAGCGCTTCACTTCATTGCTAACGGAGACTGGTGTGCCTCAAGGCACCGGCTGTACTCTCTCCAACCTTGTTTTTATTTCTTTTGCCATTACCTTCCCAATATTCTTCCAAAGCTGACTTCATTAAATATGCTGATGATCTAACCATTTCTGTCCCAGCAGTTTCTGCACTGGATTGTTCTTATGTGAATGGATTCTTGTCTGAAGTTTACAAATGGTCTTGCTTAATGGTTAAACTGCATCCATCTAAATGTCATATTGCTGATTTTAGTTTCAGATGCAAAGAAGACTTGCCTGAGTGAACTGATTCAGTCGCATGATTCCTGTTAAACTGACAGCATTTTGTTAGGGAGCAAACCGAATATCTCTCCTGTCTTGGCATTAGTTTCCCTTCGCATCTCTGTTGGTCATCTCATATCTTCCTGATTTTTAAGAAAATTTCTCGTTTCCCTCATTATTATTTCAATGAGTTGAGACTTCCTGTTGGCATAACTCAACCTCTTCTCCTACAATTTATTAATTCACGTATTCTGCTAATTCTCGTTTATCGTTTCAGCTTCTCAGGAAATTCTGTATCCTGCTGTCTAGAACACTGAAGGCTATGAGCAAGGTTAGTGGTGCAACTGTGACTCAGTTAACTGACATTACTGTCAATAGGCAATTCAATTCAATTCTCGTAAGCAGCTGGCTAAAGTTATGTTGTCTGATGCTGAACATCCTCTTTATTCTCAACCTGTATCTCCTAGTATATCTTCGAGGGATGAAATCAGAAGAAACTTCATAAGAATTTACACTCATACAGCTACTGAATATATAAATTCTACCATACCACCATATTTAACACGGGTTTTGTGTGAAGAGAGAGTCAGATGTCAGAAAAGAACTTATAAACTTTTTAAATCAGTAACTGAACTGCAAAGTATAAGCAAAGATTATTATTATTATTACATGTATTATCTGTGATACTATCTACTGATAC